GATCTGAAACCAACAGTTGGATGTTTAACTGATGTCACCACCTAGGTGTGCCCCAGGAATTGATTTTTTGATTGTTTCAAGATAGCAAATTACCCATTCCAAATACTCTTATTGAGAGACACTGTGAGACAAATGGTGTGGTGTTTTGTTTGGAGACCTGGAAACCGAGCTGTTCCAGTGACATTTGGGTATTTCCTAGGTGACTTGTGGGGAAGTCAGACAGTGTCATGATGAGGTGATGGTCTCTAGAGGCCGCGGTCTCCAGTGGCCTGGCCTAAGGGAGATATCCTGGCCTGTCGGTGACGGCTCACTCACCCTATTGGGCCTGTATGCTGCATTTTCTCAGGCATATTTCTTGCTAACATGAGAGGAAAACACCCTTATTGGCACATTAAGGCAGTAAGAGGCTTTCACGAATGCCATCTCTGACAGCTTCTGAAGGGGCTTTTCAGCTGTCACCATGACCCCTGCTGAGCTAAACATATGTTTAAAACATGTGGAGGAATGGTCAGGTTTAGAGACTCTGCTGCTACTCAGTATTATTCCTGGCTCTGTTTTCTGCTTGACTTGCCAACATTCTAATTGTGTGGGGCTTGCAGCTGCCACAGTCATACTGGTCTCAATTTTGTGTTTCCGAGCTCCTGAAGATTCCACCTCTCCTGCCAGAAGTCATCCCAGTTGTTACCACCCAGATTGCTTTCAAGTTCAGAGGCAAAACTGGGAGTCTGGTTTCTCTGTCTCTTCTGTTTCTCCGTCTCATGCTCAAGCTCATGTGCTTCCTCTGCTTCTGAACTACATGCTCTAGGTTCATAGAGGAGAGCTCTTTTAGCTTCGCTTGTGTGGTGGTGCCCCACCCCCCCTCTGGAGTCTGTGCAGAGGAGCAGTGTATGAATGGCTTCAACATTACTCACCAGTGTTTTTCAAGTCCTGTCTGTTGCTTCCTGCTAAAAGGATGACGGGGTTAACTTAAATGCTACTATTGAGTGGGAGGTTTTCCCTCTGTAGCGATGCAGATATAAATTGAGCATGAGTTAATCAGTGGTGATATTTAACTCTGGCAGCTTTTCATAAGGGATCTGCCATGTTTATTCAAATGATCCCTGAGTTTCCTGCTGTCTCCAGTCCCTAAATGTGGTAGTCCGGATTTGTCAGGGTAGAGTAATGGATGTGACAAATACTTGGGTTGGTCGGTCCAGTGAGGTCTTATTAAAGAGCCTATAATATAGCTGATTCTGATGTTTTTGAGTAGCGGCACCAAGGGAAGGGGATAAATAGGGATTGGCAGGCAACTAACATTTATCTGTTCTTGCAGCCCTGTGTGGATTTTTATAAGCATTTTCTCACTTAATTCTGTAAAAACCCCACGATCTAGTTGTTTTACTCCTATATTAAAAATAGAGAAACTGAGGTTCAGAGGTTTAAGTATCGTATTCTAGGATACATAGATAGTAAGTGGTAGAAATAATTTAAAATCCTGGTTGGGTCTGAGTCCAAAGTCAATGTTCTCTCACTTGAAGATATTGACCCAAGGTTGGTTCACTCTTACTTTTTGGTAAATGTATAAATGTAAATGTGTTGATTTTAGAAGGCTATTTGCCTGTCCTATTATCATCTCCAAGGTTAATGGCCAAATTATTACCTACTTTATGAGATGTAAATATAAACTAATGAAGCTCATTTAAAAATATCCTTTTCCTATTTGTGCCAAATAAAAGCCATTTCCTAAAATCACATACCTTGAGAAGCTATGGAGCTATACCAAAGCCTGTCCCTGTTAATGACATTTTTGCAATTTCTGTTTGGGAATTGCTTTCAGAGCAGATTTATAAGCCATAAAGAGATGGTATTTGTGGTACAAGTTCAAGATGAGTCCGTGTTTTCTCAAATGGTGCAAGTAAGAAAAGACACTCTAGATGAAGACCTGGACAAGTGTGGTGGGGTCTTGTAAAAGACCAGAATGCAGAGTACTAGAACAGAGTGAATCTGGAGCAGGGAAGGAGGTGGGATAGCCCTGTAGTTAAGAGCATCATCCTGGGAGATAACCAGCTGGTTAAACTTTACCTCTGCCATTTAGTCACTGCGTGACTTCAAGCAATTGATTTATCGGATTGTCTGCTTTCAATTTCATCATCTTTAAAATGAGGATAAAAATTGTATTAGGGGTTCTCCAGAGACACAGAACCAGTAGGGTATAAGATAGGTGGATAGATGGATAGATAGATAGATAGATAGATAGATAGATAGATAGAATTATGAGGAATTGACTCATGTATTTGTGGTGGCTGAGAAGTCTTATGATCTGCCATTGGCAAGCTGGAGATCTAGGAAAGCCGGGGTGTACTTCCAGTCTGATCCAAGAGCTTGAGAACAAGGAGTGCTGATGACAGAAGTCCCAGTCTGCTTTCCTCTGTCTACCAATTTACGTGCTATTCTCTTCCAGAAGCACCCTCACAGACAGACCCAGAAATAATGTTTAGCCAGATATCTGGGCATCGTGTGGCCCAGTCAAGCTGACAAAAAATTAACCATCATAATAGTTCCATCTTCTTCCTCGCAGATTATCGGTAACAAATAATGTAATGTGTTTTTAGTGCTTAGCACAATGTCTGGCATATAGCAAGCACTGATAAAGTGTAGCTGTTATTTTCTAGAACTAGTGATGGAAGGTTTTCTATACTCTGCCAAGAGGTTTACACGTTTTTCTGAGGTCTTCATAAAGAATGTGATCAGCAAGCCATATATTACATTAATTTTTGCAAAATAGTCCTGTGGAGGATGGATTGGAAAGTCGTGAAAGTAGAGGTGCAGAGCAGATCTTAGGAGCAATTTAAGAAATAACATGATATTGCAGGAGTGATGAAGAAATGACAGGTAACAAATATAAACACAATTAAGTTGACTGGCTAGCGATTTCTGTGCATGAGACAGAAGGAACTAGTATAATTATGTTTTTTTTTTCCAGGATAACTGGGTAGTAGCAATGTGCAAGAAAAGAAGTGTAAAAGTAAGTGGATTTTAGGACAAAATATTTTTGTGATGTTGGATTTGCGATGCCATTGAAAGATCCCAGTGATGACATACGATCTAACCCCAGCACCCCGCAGTAAGCCTATGCATAGAAGGTGTTCAGTAGATTTTTGGGAAAATAATTTTGGGAGCTACGTATGTGGTAAATGAAGGCACGGAAGTTAATTATATTACTGTAGTTGAATTAGAAGAAAGCCAGTGATAGACCTTTGTACCTAGCGACTGAGGAGAATAAAAGCAGCCCCAAGAAGAGATGGAGAAGGAATTGCCAAAGGTGGAGAACTAAGAGAAGGTGGTGTGTGCAAGTTCAGCGAAGAATGGAAAGCAGTCTTCTGCAATGTTAACACTCATAGAGGGGACAAGTAGGATGCACAATGAAAAGAATTCATGGTAGTTGGTGATGGGATTAGTCATTTTTCACTCTTGCCAAAGTACATTCTGTGCAACTAGGTGCTAAAAATGGCTCGAGTGAATTGAACATAATTGGAAATGAGGATGTGGGTATGGCAAATGGTAAGTGATGTAACTGTTCTTCCAAGAAATATGGTTGTCAAGACAAGGAGGCGATGCATGGTAGGTAAAAGAGGGCTGACACAGGCTTTTCTACTTGACTATGTGGAGGCAGGCAGGAAACGGGGGCTGGGGGGAGAGACACAGGATAGAATAACCAGGACAGTAGAGAATTAAACAGTTAGGAAGGGGGCAGCTTAAAGCGTAAGCAGTGCAATTAATCCTGAGCAGTAGAATGGAAAATTGGGAAGACCATCTTTACCCTTATGGGTAGAAAGGAGGTGAGATGGGCAGAAAACTGAGAGAGTCCATGTTCCATAGCTTCATTGTCCGTGTGCAATAGCAGACCAGAGTTTTCCGTTGAGAGCAGAGTGGGTTAAAGTGAGATGGGGTCTTGGAGAGACATTAGAATAGATGCTGTTGGAAATTAATGGACATCATAAGGCAGTAGTCTGTCTTTAGGGTCTGCCTTGATTTGGAGACAGTGTTTGGTTTATTTTAGGAGTGCTAGAATTTGGGTTGATAAAGGAGTAGAACAGGTAGGGGGAAAGGAGCTGTGGCAGTGAGGATAATTGCAGGAGATGGATGTGATGTAGCACTCCAGATTCTGGTTCTGGCGAAGATATTGATGCCAGAGGAGGGGTTGGTAAATAAAGGGATGGGATAAATGTTTCAAATGATACATGGTGTAGGTATAAAGCAGACAGTTAACAGGCACAGGGCTGGAAGGATACCGTCCCATCCTCTAATCTGCTGGTGTGAATATTTCTGGTTGGGATAGGACAGAGATCGCTTGACCAAGTTGGGAGACATCCAAATAGTATTTTTAAAAAATATTTATTTATTCATGAGACACATACACACACAGAAGCAGAGACATAGGCAGAGGGAGAAGCAGACTCCCTGAGAGGAACCTGATGTGGGACTCGATCCTAGGACCCTGGGACCATGAACTGAGCCAAAGGCAGATGCTCAACCACTGAGCCACCCAGGTGTTCCAACGTATTTTTTAAAAGATGTAGCTAACCATTGTTTATGATTTCAGCCTAACATAGAATCCTACTTTTACTGTAATAAAAAAAATCAGTTAATTCTAGTGCTATCATTTGGGGGATAAAAAACAAAATTAATTTGTAGCTAATTATAAAATTTGTATTCATTTTCTTTTTTTTTGAACTCTACCCTTATATTTTATTAAAAGGGCAAACATCATGAATTAACCCAGCTGCTTACTTGAATTACAAAAGTAACATGATTCAATATGAAAATAAGAAACTGTCTACAAATCTCTGACAGTAATAAATTGCAATATACAATGCATACAGGAGTCATACAGAGCAACAAACTCTCGTACAAAACAAAAATATTTTAATACCTTTAAAATCCAAATTTTTCTTTAAAATCATCCATGAAAAAAGATTCTCAAGTCAGAATTAACACCTCAATTAGTCAAGCGTCAGGAAGCTACATTACAGCTATTTAATATACAAAGAGACATCTTTTCCCCAATCACTTCCTTATAAGGTCTCTGTTTCCAGAATCATACAGACTCTTGCTTCTCTCCACTCCCCATGCCACCATTTCTTCAGATCATGAAAACTGAATTTGTTGAACACCAGAAATCTGTTGATATGATGTTGTATAAACCATAACATTTTGCTGTTGACCATCTGCAGTTATTAACCCAGATGGTAACTGGTTAGTAAATGCCTCCTCTGTAAGTTCTTCACTTAGCCCATCTGTAGCTGTGACTGTTCCACCAATTCCTTTCTCTCTTTCATAGCCTCTCTGAATTTCCGAAGGGATAATTTTAGAGGTTCTACATAACTGTCAAAGCCTAAGGTTGACATGGCAAAGAGAATATCTTCTCCATTGATTGTCTTCCGTTTCTCCTGATGGCATCTTTCACTTGCTTCAGATGTTATAAAGCTGATGAACTCACTCACACATTCCTGAGCACCTTCTTTGGCATCTTTTGCAATCTTTCCCGTTTGAGGTATGGCGTTTTTCATTATCCTTGCTACATTTGCAATTGGAAGATGGATATCTTGTTCTCTGAAACTTTCTTTTGAGCCATTTGTGTCTTCATGATCATTCATGCTGTCCTCAGTATCATCATGAGGCTGTAAAACATAGTGGCTTCCTCCGATGTAGTCTGCAGAGATGCCTAGTTGAGAAGCATCTGTGGTAGCACTGTCGCCATCCATCTTTGATAATTTGCACAAGTAGAGGGTATCCTATTTATTGATACTTCTTAGTGGCTTTGTCATGAAATACCGTCAGAACTGTGTTGTCAGTGGTGTTCAGGAACACCTTTTTAAAAAGGGGTCCAATCTTCACCCAATTTCAACCTCCAATGCAGCCCTGGTTGGCTCCCGTCTCCAATCGGCCGTTTGGTTGGACAGAAAATGGCTGCGCAGGAACCAGTCCCAGCGCGGAGCTGCGCTTCCAGGACTCGGCCTCCCCTCCCTCCGCCGCGGGCCGCTTCCCTCGGCGCGACACCCTCCCTCCGCGCCTCCCGCGAGCTGTATTCATTTTCAAAAGTACAGTGGTAAGTTGAAGTTATTAAGAAGAAACCCATGATCTGAGGTCTTTTCAGCCCTTCTTATTTCTTAGGTTCCAGGGCTAGGGTTCCCGCTTTTTAAGTTGAGAACAGAATTTGGTTTCCATAATCTGGGACAGAACACATGAAGGTCTTTAGTTCAAAAAAGTTCAGTTTATGACGTGCAGGTTTATAATGACTGTAACTAAATAGCGTCGGTAGGTGAAATGAGCCACGTTTGTCTTTTAGCAAACAGTTCATTGCTTTTATATTAGAGATGATTTCAAAGCTCAAGTAGCATGATATTTATCTATCTTTATAGAAACTGAACCCTACATCAATAGTGGAATCTTTTAAATAAATTTACAACCTGTATATTCTGACGAGTCAAGGATTTTCTAAATGCCACGAAATTGTCATAAGCAACACCATCATTGAAATGCCTTTTAACAAAAATGGTGCTCTCCTTTTTTACTTCTACTGAATAATTTATATGTTTTGGAAATACTGCGTGTTTAATTTTTGTGCAAAGTAATAATGCAATTTATTTGAAAGGTCCATTTTTTTTCTGAGAATTAATCAATGCTTCTTAACCAGCTGTCTAATCTGCAAGCGTTGTAGGTATAAATCAACTTACAAATTAAGTTAGAAATCTAAGTTAGACACAGATTGATTTTGACAATTGCCTTCAAGTGAAATAGCCTGGACCCAATAAAATTCTCTCCATTGATTTCTAGAAATGGCATTTGGGATAGCCTCATGGTATTAACGCAGTGGTCATGCCCTGGTATTTGTACTCCGCTATGGTAGTAGAGTAAGTTTAAATTGATGAGATTGGATAAATAGCATTCTTCAGATGTTCTGGATGGCAGCATATCTAATGTAATTGCATTTGTCTGCCAGTTTCTGTGTGTTAGAGCACAAGAGATTTTGAACCATGCATAATTTTGATAGAGAAATTCAATTCACTTCCGCCTATAATATACTACAAATTATAAATTTTCATTACAACTATTCAATCACTTGAGAAAAGCATGCATTTTAAATCAGGTTCCATGCCAAATATCTCATTTATGGAGCCATGCTGCTTAAAATTGGACAAATCGATGACCTTAGTGAATATTGAAAATATTAGTTGGAAACCTTATTAGCTCTAGGATCTAGTGATACATAAGCTTGTGTAATAAATATTAAGAGCTACTAATAGACCAGCTTTTAAGGTGAGAGAATTTCCATTTGCTTAATTGTGGTGAATTGTTGCAAAATGATTATGCCGGCCAGGGTGCTGAAACATGACTACAACAGTCAAGAATCCTATCAGCTCCTGTAGGCAGCTACTAAATATGCGCATTAGACAGTCTGATGAAATATTGTGGGGTTCAAGACCTGATCATAATGGCGATTTATGCTTGTAGAGCTACTTTTATTACAAGATCGTGAAAGGCTATGTGGTCACTCATTCATTGATCACCACAATTTCCTTACGAGCTAAATGGCTGGTATTTATTTATTGTTCCTCCAGTATTAGGTTACTTTTCAAGAGGCTAACATTTTAATCAATCTCTTTTGGTTCTCCTAACTACGTAACTTGAATGCATGATGCTCAATTAAACTATAATATTTAGAAACTCATTGATATTTCACTCTGAAAGATGGCTCATTTCATCACAAGTTTTATTCCTAACCCCTGTGCACTCTTCTCTTACTTTTTAATATTAGGTTTAGCTGTAGTTTTGCCAAGGTTTTCTGATTTCTGTCATGCAGAATCACAGAATTGTGATTGGAAATGACCTTTAAAGTTTCAGATTCTGACTGCAAACATGAATCCCCTCTTGGCATCTCTGAAAGTTGGGAATTGGGCCAGGATGGTAAATGTGTTCCCTGGAGTTTGCAGCCAGATAGTCCTGATTTGAGTCTCTACCTAATGAATCTGTGTGGTTACTGCAAACATTTTGAGATCAACTTTTCAATTAAGAGACAGCTTGAATGGTTCTAGTTCTATTTTTATATCAAAGCAAAACATCTGGGATCCCTGGGTGGCGCAGCGGTTTGGCGCCTGCCTTTGGCCCAGGGCGCGATCCTGGAGACCCGGGATCGAATCCCACATCGGGCTCCCGGTGCATGGAGCCTGCTTCTCCCTCTGCCTGTGTCTCTGCCTCTCTCTCTCTCTCTCTCTATCATAAATAAATAAAAATTTAAAAAAAATAAAAAAAAGCAAAACATCTCTTTCACTGGCCTTAAAATGCCCTAATAATTAGTAGAGTATGCAACTTCTGTCATTTTGAGTCTTCTAATGACTGATATGTTCCCTTTGGTCTTCCATAGTCCATGGTAAATATATTTTTTTCATGGTAAATATTTGCAGTGTCTTCAATCCCAAAATATCGACATGGTTTCTAGAGGTCTTGTAAAGCACCCTCATTAAGATCTTCTCTTGATACCCACAGTTGTCTTAAATTACTGTTGCCAGAACTGCACATGTCGGTTAAGAACAGTTAACAGGGCAGGCTGGGTGGCTCAGCGGTTTAGCATCATCTTCAGCCCAGGGCCTGATCCTGGAGACCCAGGATCGAGTCCCACGTCGGGCTCCCTGCATGGAGCCTGCTTCTCCCTCTGCCTCTCTCTCTCTCTGTCTCTCATGAATAAATAAATAAAATCTTAAAAAAAAAAACAGTTAACAGCTTACATTTTTTTTTCTAAAATAGGCATTGTGGTAAGCAGTTTATATGCATTATGTATTTTTAAAAATTAAGCATTTTGTTTTAAGGTAACTTTAGATTTTATCACATGCAATTGTAAGAAATGATGCAGAGATTTACATGTCCTTTACTCAGTTTTTTCCAGTGGTAATATCTTGCAAAACTATAGTATATTATCATAACCAGGATGTTGATATTAATTTGATTTATTGTTCAGAAATCCCAGTTTGGTTTGCACACCTTTGCATTTGTGTGTCAAGTTCTGTGCAGTTTTATCACAGGTGTATATCCACTTTCACAATCAAGACACTGGATATTTCACATCCACTTTCCTTCTGCTGTCCTCCCTAACCTCATCCTTAACCTCCAGCAACCATTAATCTGTTCTCCATTTCTATAATTTCATGAATGTTATATAAATGGAATAATACAGTATGTGGACTTTTGGGGACTGGCTTTTTTCATTAAATAAAATTATTTGGATAAAACTCCAAATTATTGTGTGTATCAAGAGTCTGTTCTTTTTATTCTGAGAGTCTTAAATGGTGTGGATGTACTGTATTTAATCTGTCAAAGGACATCTGGGTTATTTCCAGTTTTAGGCTATTATGAACATGAATAATTATGTACAGGTTTTTGTGTGGGCATGGATTTTTGTTTTTCTGAGATAAATGCCCAAGAATACAATTGCTGTTGTGTGGTAATTGCATATTTAGTATAAAGAAACAAACTTTTTTTCAGAGTTTCATACCAGCAATGCATGAGTGATCCAGTTTCTCTGTATCCTTGCCAGCATTTGGTATTGTGGCTATTTTTTAAAATTTTAGCCATTTTGATAGATATGTACTATCTCACTATAGTTTTAAGTTGCATTTCTTTAATGGTTAAAGATTTGAACTTTTTTCATACGTTATTTTCCATCTGTATATCTTTTTGAGTGAAACATCTATGTATACCTTTTGCTCATTTTCTTAGTGGATTGATTGTTACGGTTTTTGTTCTGAGAACTTTATATATATATATATATATATATATATATATATATATATATATAATTTTCTTCCTTCCTTCCTTCCTTCCTTTCTTCTTTCTTTCTTTCTTTCAGATTTATTTATTTTTGATAGACATAGAGAGAGAGAGAGAGGCAGAGACACAGGAGGAGGGAGAAGCAGGCTCCATGCCGGAGCCTGATGCAGGACTCGATCCCGAGACTCCAGGATCGCGCCCTGGGCCAAAGGCAGGCGCTAAACCGCCGAGCCACCCAGGGACCCAGGGATCCCCTATATATATATTTTAGCTATTAGTCCTTTGTTGGTTTGGTAAGTTTTCTGTCTATAGCTTGCCTTTGAAAGTCTTAATAGGTCTTTGCGAGCACGATTTTTAAATTCTGATGGAGTTCATTTTATCAGTTTTTCCTTTTATGAGCTGTGATCTTGGTGTCCAGTCTAAGAACCCTTTGCCTAGCTCTAGATCCAGATGATTTCCTCCAATTTTCTTCTAAAAGTTGTATAGTTTTTCATTTTCTATTGAAGTCCATGATACATTTTAGTTAATTTTGGATAAGGCATGTGATTTAGGTTGAGATTCAGTTATTCCCCCCCCTCCTTCCATGGATGTTCAGTTGCTCCAGGACCATTTGTTGAAAAGGATTTTTTTCCACCATTGAGTTGCTTTTGCACTCTTGTAAAAAATAAATGTGTATTTATGTGGGTCTATTTGTGGATTCCCTGTTCTGTTTCATTGATCTGTTGTCTGTTGCTTCACACACCACACTGTCTTGATAATGTAGGTTATATATAATATTGGCAGAGTGACTCTTCCTACTTTATTCTCCTATTCAAAGTTGGTTTAATTATTCTAGAACCTGTGGCTCTCCAAAAAATTTAAAGTAACCTCATCTATATATAAAACATCTTGGTGAGATTTTAATACGAATGGTTTTAAACCTATATAAATCAATATAGGGAGAATTGGCATCTTTACTTTGTTTAATTTTCCAATTCATGAACATGATATGTCTCTCTGTTTCTTTAGATTTTTGATTTCTTTTATCAGCATGCTTTTGTAATTTTAAGCATACAGATCCTGTGCATGCTTTGATAAGATATTACTTGAGTATTTCAGTTTCTTTGGACCAATTGTAGAAGGTATTCTGTTTTTA